TTCCATTCATTTTCTAAGTTGTAGTAGAAGAATGGATCAAAGTTACAGAAAGAGACTTAAGATCCTATTCTAGAGAAGATGTCAAAAATGATGCAGATGGCATACTTTTAAACAACTCCCCGGAGCAGAGAAGTTCTAATCAGTCAACTAGTAGGAGAGCTCCAGAATATTCAGACAACTTATAAATTGAACGAGAAGAATTATCTTATATGATTCCAATTTATTCGAACCTATTTGATGTGAGCATGGTCCATGAAGAGATGGATGACCAAGAGAAATTCAACCTGTAGTAAAACCCAACACAATGGAGAGGACGACGAACAAGGAAGACTCAAGGGAGATTTGCACAACTTGGATGGATTTGGGTCACTTGGGAAAAGTATCACCATGCCAAGTGGACACATTACAAGAGGGAGAGCAAAAAGGCTACAACAATCCTTTCAACTTTTTATCCAAGAATTGATCAATGAGGAGGATGGATTCGGATCAAGTGAAGAAGCCCAAGAGAAAAAGAAAACAAGCCCATTCACCTAAGGGTATAATGGTCCCTACAATTCAATCCAAGTGGAGGAGGAAATCAAGCAAAAAAAGGCAAGGGAATTTGGCCATAAAGGAGACATCTTCTAAGATGTGAAAAGTGAAAATTCCCATGGCCAAAAGGGAAGATATCTCTTAAAACCGTAAAATATCTTAAGAAAATGGAAGACTCTTTAAAGAACCATATCTTGGCGGAAAATGAAAGATTCGGATTGCCATAATGCTCCTTTAATGACCAGCGTTAAACTTCCATTTATTCTCCCCCTAATTCTTCTACAATCAATTAAAATCTTCCTCATTTAAAAAGTTTTCGAAAGGGAAGATGCTATATAGTTTATTTAGTCAAAAAAAAAAAAAAAAAAAAATTTATTTAAGACAAGATTTAATTTTTCATATAACTTTTACAATTAATTTAGGAGATTTATTTTCTTGTATTTCACATTATTTACTCAATAAATAGATTTTCAATTCCTAATTATAATCATTGAAGTTTGAGATAATAAAATTACAAAGTTATTTTCAACTAGTGAAGTGTTTTCAATTTTCTTGTTGAACAAGAAATTGGATCAACTTATCAAGGTATACTTGTAACGTTTTTATAACTCTTTTAATTTCCTGATTACTGTAGTTACTATCACTTTATTAAGAGCAAGTTAAGTAAGGAGGATTTATTAGAATTTAAGTGTTTGATGCTTTATGAGTATTGTGTGAGTTATGGATTACATAATTGATTCTGGGTTCTGCATCACTATTTGAGGGGAAAACAAAAGCTCAACCATCTTCTAGGAAATGAAATAGGAAAATACAAGTTTTGATGTGTGAGATGAAGCAGATTCCATGACCATGTCGTAGTTATAGAACTCAATGAATCTTGAAACCAACAACACTAACATGTTTCTATCTCCTACTAAAAAATTTGGAATGTTTTCTGACTGATGTATTAGAAGATTTGTGATGCAACACAAAAATACGAAGAAGTCAAAACTAGTACGACAAAACAATGAATTAAAACTGTTACCAATTATGCAAATTGACTACAAAGCCCGTTGCAAGAACTTGACATTATTGGTGCATTCAAACTAAGTGCACAGATGATGATGTGATCTTAAACCATTTTATTAAATGAGATCAAGTCTATCATTTTCTTGCAAATCTCAATATTTAATTTAATCAAGTCGAGGTCCAAATTCTTGGCAAGGATGAAGTATCATATTTAAACGAGAATTTCTTTGAGTCAAGACTAGGAGAGTCACATGGGGATTACACTTGAAACCCAGTCCTAGATAGGGGTGGCAGAAAATCTCTGACCAGCTAAATCCACACAGACCTGTTTAATAAACGTTCCATTTTTTAACCAGAATCGAACAAGGTCAGATTGGTCTTTTCCATGGCGGATCGAGTTCAGATTTTGACTATTTTTTTAAAAATAAAAAGTATTTGGTATACATTAACATGGTACCAAAAGGAGGTATCACCCATTTACAAAGAATTTACAATCGTGTTTATGACATTCTCAAAATCTTTATCACTAATATGTCATGATCTAATAAAATAAACCCAAAATAGTGAATCCACATCTCCTATTTTATACACAATACTCTTTACACCATCAAAAACTCTAAAATTTCTTTCTTTCCAAAGAACCCAAAAAGCAGTCAATGGAAATAGATTAGCAATATTGTCTTTTACGTATAAACCATCCCAACCTCAAATTTCCATACCAACTGACCCAGCCATCACCAATCAATCCCCAAAAGACCATACACCATACACCAAAGACTGTAAGCCATAGGACACCACAGCAATAAGTGATTAT